TAAAAACTTAAAAAAGAAAAAAGAAATCAAGTCAATAGTTCTTTTCTTATTACAATTGTTTTATCAAATTTATGGTTATCTGTTATCCACAATCCATGTAAAGATATTATAAAACCAAAGTTTATAGATTATAATATAATTTATATTATAAATAAATAAACCTTGTTATAAAACCACAGTTTATCACAGAACAATGGTTATGTATCAGTGGTAATAATCATATTATACCTACCAATAAGGATTAGAACTTCATTTTATCATTTTAATAAATTCAAAGACCATAATATTTTTAATGGAGATAAATGATAATGACTTAATATTATTATCATGTATCTACCGCATTGATAATAGTATAGACTATTCTATATCAATAATAATAGGTATTACTCGGTATTAGAAACTTGTAAAAATTGTAAATTTTAACCTAGACCTCGGAGAAATTTCGGGGGGGGTTACGACCCCTTAACCCCCCCCCCCCTGTGTGCGCCACTGGTTTTCATCAAGATAGTCAGTAACAATATCATACTGATCATCTTTCTGATACAAGAATATCGTTATTATTAATAATATCTAGAAAAAAATATTATTGAACTATTCGGAGTATTTCGATCTATAACGATCATGTTTTGAACCAGTAATTTATTATCTAGTTCCTATAATTTAAAAATAATTTAATTTTTAGGAAAAGGTTGATTTTTAACAACTTAAAATTATGTACAATCTGTACATAAAAAAAGTACAATAAGCATAAATGATGGTTATTTTTAAAATTATAATTTATGAGCGTGAATATCTTGAGGGAAGAACCAACCAGCGAAGCCGCGAAGGCACTTCGGCATGAATTTTTATTGAAATTTTAGTTTTATTTTTTGTTATACTGTTCAAGTACAAAACTAAAAGTTATTTATTATTTAAATAAAATCTATCATTTGTAAATTTAGGAAATATTGGATACGACCAAAGTAAAATAGAAGATACAAATCATTATATTTTAAAGGAATATTAACGTGAAATAAGTCCTTAGTTTTAGGAATAAGAAAGTAAATATTAAAATTCTTTTGTTCTACTCGGAAAATTTTTAAAAACATTTGGGGGATAAATTGCTTTTACTTACCATGTTTTAAATCTATAGAAAAAATAATAGACGAGACTACCATTTTTTATTCACATATGACTTGGTGATCTGATTAGTGATTAAAATAATAATAAATAACTCATGAACCATGAGGAACGAGGAAAATAATGAGTTCCTTTTCTTATAAAAACAATGAATTGAAAGTGTTCTTTTTAATATGAAATGAACGTGGAACTGAACAAATCGCTATTTATACTAAAGGAACAAGGAATTGAACGGATTCCTATATAAAAATAACGTTAACAACACTGGTAGTAGGTGGTCGTTAGTATATTATGATTATATTATATAAATGCCATTTATAAGAAAAATATGGTGTAAGGAAGTTTTGATTTTGGATTTATCCTAAAAAATACTTGAGTAGCGAGTAGCCATAAGTCAAAACCATATTGACTGAGATTTCTTCAAAAATGTCCAGTAGTTGTTGGTGAAGTGTCCCTTGCGTTCGAAAACTATAAGGTTATTTGTATGTAAATATAATATACAATAATACAATTATATAATATATTGATTTATTCAGAGCTGTGTTAAGTTGGAGGAGGCAAAAACATGACTACCCGGGGTGCCTTAATTGGTAATAAAATAATATGAGGATGACCCTAAAAATAGTTATGGCTCTAGAATTGTTTACAAATTATATAAATGTTTCTAATCAATTTAATATTACGATTGTTTTTCGTTATCCCTGTGCGTAAAAATAAAATGATACCTACTCTGGAATATTTAAATATCAAACCCAATGACAACGTAGAACATTGCAGTACACCCCAAAACTCCAAACAACTCTACCTATACATATATACACATAAGCCAAATATTATACGTCTCTTAATTACCTATTTGGCTTGCTATTTTAAAATCAATCACATGACTAAAAAATTTTAAAAAATATCGTCGAATTGTTTTTTTATACAACGCTGTCTATAATTCACATACCTATTAATATGAAACATTAACGAAATACAAGTGTCAAGTACATAAGTGAACTCGAAACATTGTAGGATAAATATTACAGATAACATTGCGTATCGACGAGAGCAACTGATGAATGATTATCACTGTACACCATCCGAACTCGATAAAAAAAAAAAGAATTTCAATTAATTATGTATAATATATAAAAACATAAAATATGGACCTATATATTTATACATATTACATATGTATCGGAAAAAATTGCTGTTTACAAAGTGAGACAAGTGCACTTTACCACCACCTACCATCAGATATGTTTTTTTTTTAATTTTAATTACGAGTAAATGTGAAATTGCTTACCGACAAAACTGTGATGGCAATTAGCATTTTTCGCCCGGAATTAATTTTCCGTAATGATCACCGTTGTAAAATTCTGCAGAACATGCAAATTGAGTCTTTTCGTTTTACTGGAAGAGAATTGTTTTTAGTTATCCATATTATATATTTTATGGATTATCAAAAATTCAAATTACATGCACATAATACTATACCTAATAGGTATCCTAATCTATATGTATGAGAATAGTTGCATCATATAAGTGTGCGTTCAATAATTGGATAGTTTAATGTGCAAATCATATATGTCAGAACGTGATTAACGTTGACCAATATAAAAATAATAAGTCACCTCTCTGAAACAAAACTTATGAAGGAACACTGAACAGAACCTGTGAGTAATTGAGTTCACTGAAAAGTATTGTGTAGACGTGAATGAAGATAAAAAAAAACAGTCTTCCATTGGCATTTGGCAAGACATTTTGGCATGGTTAATATTAAATGAATTATATTATTTTAAATAGCTTTTAAATACCTATTATGTATATGTTTTATGGACTTATATATATATTTTTGTTATATATTATACATTTTATACGTGTGCAACTGTTCAATGGGTAACTTATTTTGCATTGACCCTTAATTGAATATAAATAATTAATAGAGGAAACAGAAACATTACATAAATCCGAATGTGCAATATATATGTCATATATTATATAATTAAATGTAGATAATCAAAACCCACATAGGTACACGCTATTAAACAAATTTAGTAAATAAAGTAAATAGTTTGGTAGGTAGGTAGGTACTGAGTGGGTGTATTTATATTGATATTTGTTCTTGCTTTTCTCAGAATTGAACTTCAGTATGCGTTTTCCCCGCAAAGTGTATTATTACATACATCCGTGATTAAAACGATTATGGAATAAAACTGTTTTAAAAAAAAATGAACGCAATCATCACATTTCATCATTGAATAATAATGTTCAATAAATAAATATTATGATTATCTTAAATTGTTTTCTTGTATTCCCCGTGAAATCGAATTATTGGTGCAGCTTTGCTGTATATATTATTTTAAAGATTACTTTGGAACGTAAATCATAGTTGATGAAAATTTATTATATGAAGACTGTATAGTAACGAATGATATTGTTGCACAAAGAATATCTAGTCACACGACGTTGATGGATTCTGACTTTCAACGTCAGCAGTTTTTCCTTGCTCTAAGAACGTATTGAAAAATAAAAAAAGACAACTTATGCTTATGTGTAATCAATTTTTAATCGATATACAAGATTGTCAAAAACTATTAAATCACTCCTTTAGCTCGAACGAAATATTCACAGAAAAATATTCTTTAAAAGAAAAATCTAATTTTAAAATCAGTGCGATTCCCAATGCCCACATTTATTATTTAATTTAACCTACAATTTATAAAAGTAAAGAGCAGAGATTCAATGCAGTATTGAACATTTGTTTAAGTATTCTTGTTCTGTGATAGCAATAGGTATATAATTTAAAATGTGTTGTGTTGTTGTTATTTATTGTAATTAGTTTTAGTATCTGATGCGAATAATGCAGGTGTAATATTATATACTATTTCAAGTACCTATCGCATCCTAATTTACAAATTTAGATGGATAACATATTTTTGAAAAATTACTCGCAGTTTATATGTTTATAATTTTCTTGCACAAGACGCTCATTTATGAGGTATAGTAATATTCATATCACTATATCAGTTTCACGTGTTTCTCATCACATTTCACACAACGTGGAGCTAGAAAAAGTAATTTCGGATGTGTTCCCTTCGGATAAAATGTAAACACAGATAAGGGTTTATTTAGTGTTCAGTTTATCAACCGTACATTGTATGTAGGTATGTAATAATAAAAAAAAATATCAATTATTTGTTTAATATACAAGATTTTTTATTATAAATTACGATTTTAAATTTTAAAAATATTATCTAGATATTAAAATAAAAAGGTTTTATTCAATGGGTACTATGACTTTTTTTTAATGCATATTTTAATACCATATTTAGTGATTCTCTAGGGCATAAGTGAATGCATATTTTAAGGTTTTTAAGGGCATGAAGTCCTTAGCCCTAACAATGACTAATAGTTATAAGGCCGTAGTTTTTACTTTTTCTATGCACTCGTTGTTTGCACTGATCCCAATCTACGTGTATAGGCATATAATATATGTGATTGTTATTCAAATTTTAAATTGATAATTTTTGTGTAAATTGGTATAAATATTTGAGCTATAAATGTATATTGAATGTCGGAAGACACATATTTGAATATATTGTTTTTTATAAATCAAAATAAATCACTTCCCTAATATTAAATTATTGTCTATTGGCTAGTATTTTTAATATATTTTATTTAAGATTTAAATACACCCAAGTAAAAATGTTTGGGATTATCTTACTTTCAAATCGATGATTTCATAAATATAATGACACTCAAATAATGTATATACCTATTATAAGTTGCTTATTATTATTTTTAAATTCTCATTATTCTATACTGATTTATAATTTTTTTTTTTTCAGTAAGCTTACTATCAATGTGAAGCTACAAGGTTACAAGTTCAAATCATGGTATTATTTCTACGCATTTTCATATGCATAAGTTGTTTTGTCTTCAATACGTTTACGTTTTGTACAAGTACTATTAAAACTGAAACTAGTTTCCTGACAACCGTCAAATTAATTACAAGTGTCAATACCGAGGTTCCATCTGTGCTGTGGCAACAAAAGCAAGTTACGAATCTAACAAGCGATTGCAACATCGAATCGGATCGTAATAACGGTTTAACATGCCGTGATTCGAAGGCAGTAAAAAGTGTTTCGAAACGTTTGGCGACTGTTTTGAACAAAAACTTAACCAACACAAACCTTACCAAGATAAATCTTGGTACTGCAAATCTAACAACTGTAAAACCAAAACCCCCGAAATCCGTTGTTACTACAACTAAGACGCCTCCCAATGTCACGAAACCTGGTAAATTCGTACAGAAAAACAATTTGAGGCACCGCGAGGGCACGGTTTGGCCTAAGCCCGACAAAAGGTTAAGCGATGCCGCGCACAAAACGCCCAATGTCAACATGTCGAATCACACAGAGGAGATCGTAGTCATGTCAGACTTCAAGACCAAATATCCAATCGACACGTGGAAAGAACACGGGTTTTACACGGACGATTACATGAAGTTAATCAACAGCCATTGGTTCAAATTCATGCCACCTAATGCCACGTCACACTACATTCTCGGATTTCTGTACTCCGTCATCATGGTACTCGGTTGTTTCGGGAACTCACTAGTGATTTTCATGTACATCAAGTTAGTTATGACCTAAACTATATCATACACTGCATTGTGTACGTCATTATAGTACCTGCATAATACATTAATATGATATCTCTAAACTTGCGAACAAACAAACTTAGCAGTGTTATAACTTTTTCCGATCTATGTTTTTTCAGGTGTAAATCATTGCAAACGCCCGCCAACGTGTTGATAATGAACTTGGCAGTCAGCGATTTTATTATGCTAGCGAAAACGCCGGTTTTCATCTACAACAGTTTTTACCAAGGTCCTACGCTGGGAAAATTGGGTAAGTCTATACAACTAATACAACTTAAGTATATTTATAACGATGTGACATTATGTTACTATTGATTTTAATATCTAACTTTCGTTTCGGATTTTTCCTTTGTAGGCTGCCAGGTCTATGGATTTTTTGGTGGCTTGACGGGAACTGTGTCCATCATGACGTTAGCCGCCATATCGTTGGACAGGTATTATGTGATAGTGCACCCTCTGAACGCGGCCGTGAAAACTACCAAACAGCGGGCCAGGGTGTGGATTGGCCTGATATGGATGTATGGGTTCTTGTTCTCCATCATACCGGTAATGGACCTGGGGTACAACCGATACGTACCGGAAGGATACCTAACTAGTTGCAGTTTTGACTATCTGTCGGATGACAACCAAGAGAAAGGGTTCATATTGGTGTTCTTTACGGCGGCGTGGTGCATACCGTTCACCACGATATCGTACTGTTACATTAAGATACTGAGGGCGGTTTGGGTGACCAGCGAAATGGCCGCCAGCCGGTTCGGCCAGGAGGAGGAGAAGAGGAAGACGGAGATAAGACTGGGATATGTGGTGGTTGGAGTCATCATGCTGTGGTTCGTGTCGTGGACGCCGTACGCCATGGTGGCCCTACTAGGTGTATTCGATAGGAAAGAGTACATCACGCCACTGAGTTCGATGATCCCAGCGGTGCTTTGCAAGGCTGCCAGCTGCATGGATCCTTGGATATACGCTATCACACACCCAAGGTTCAAAAACGAATTGACAAAGCTAATGTCCAGAAAGAAGACCAGGAAATTGGAGCGGGATTATGGTATGAAGAAGAACTGGGGAGGCCAGTCATATTCCAATAAGAGCGGGGCCGGTCTCAGGAACCTCTCTAGCTCAGAAGATGAGTGCGTGGAAGAGGTGATCGTCGTGATTGATTCAGATGACAAGAAGATGAAACGGCAAGGATCGACTTCCAGTCACAAAACCGAAGAGACCAAAGCGCTGGAGACAAAGTTCCCACCCACAAGGCAGGATAGTCTGAAGTACATGCCGCCCAGCTGGTACAAACTGCCCCGGACTACGTCTAAGAGCAGCATCATGATAGACCCAAAACTTACAGGAGATGATAACAATAAGTGATAACGTTCTTGTCGAGCTAGCCAACGAGCCCACGATGAGTTTGAAGATTTTAAATGATAAACGCTGTGATTAAAATGCTAGTCTATATTATATTATTATTATATTATGTACAAACATAATATTATATAATCTGATCTCACACTCTGTGTTAAGGGAAATTTACGAACATGTATTTACGTATAATGTTGTCCTTATAATCGTGAATGTTTTAGGTGCTTATTTGTATGCGTCTATCGTGTATAAAAATAAAATATAAAGCCCACACACGCGGCCACTAAAGAGTATTGGCATGCACTCCACCACCGCATGACAGTATAAAATGTAGTTAATAATGCGATACGTCAACAGTAAACTACGATATTTATCTTATATTGATATTATGTTTATTGAATACGAGGTCAGGCGCACTCGATATAAAATTATGTACGTTCAAATATTATTGTTGCATGCGTTTATGTTTATAAAAATTAATATGTATGATCTTTAAGCGTATTACTGCAAAGCTACCGTAAACCCATTATTTTATTACTATTACAATATATTATTGTAATTAAGTTTGTACGCACTTTTTCCCTTACCATCTTCCATAAAGGTAGTTTTTGATTAATTTTGAACATACAATTGCATCAAAAAGTCGAAAGCGGTCAATCAATAATATGTGTATATATTGATATACACACACACACACACACACAAACACACACACAACTATTGAGTACACTCATTGATAATATTATATTTACCATTAGGTACCTATTTAACTTTTAAAGCCCATAATAATACTACTATGCCCATGTGTATTTTAAAATATTTTGAAAGTCAAACAATTTTTCTATAGTTAAAAACTAACATAACCAAAACTACTCAAGGGTTTGAAAAGTATTATTCTTTTTAATAGAAACACATCGATATGTAGGTAAAGCGTTATTTTACCATTAGGATACCATCGAATTAATACAATTATAAGTATAATAGTATTTCCAACTTTCATTCATGACAGTCAACCACGGTGTCACTCTTTTGTGAAACACGACGTGTTAAAATGAAATGTACTTCACGACTTGTCTTAAATTCAAGTTTATAAAATTTGGTGTTTTTTACCAACAATCCCTTTTAAATTCAAATCGAAGTCAAAATAAGAAACTGACAATTTTTATTTGTTTTTTTTTTAATATATGCATTTTACAATGCTGAAATTCACGTTGATGTACGTAGTCTGTCACTGATATTTTTACTTCCTGTAAACATGATATAGATAGGTACACCTAGATGGTGTAATATTGTTTTATATGTGGCTAATTATAAAATAATATTAATAATAATGGACTGGTTATGTGAATGATGAAATTATATGATTATCATATTAATAGTATGATAAACATTGAGATTTGTACGTATACTTGTACTTGCAGTCGTGCATCGAATTAATGCATACCCACACATTACAATCGTAATATGAGGTAAATTTAGGACAGGGTGACTAACTTATATAAGCATATCCTAATTAATTTTCTAGTGAACAATTATTTTTTTACTATATATTTATAAATGTTTAGTTGTATATTCAATTCACGACAGTATAATAGTCAGTGCTACACTGCAATATAACACGAAGTTCTCTCATTCCTGGTAAGCTTAGGTGGAAACCGTTATTATGTCCCATCGGTAAATTATACGACCCCATTTTGCCACATTACTTGAACAATCTTGTACTCCAGTGAATTCCATTAGTAGGTACATACAGTGTTACACCAGATATTTCAGTACATTTTTTCAACGCCCCGACTACCCAGTAGGTAAATCAGAACAGACATAATAAATTGCTATAAATGTATAATTTATATGATTAACGATATATTTATTGGTACGCAACAGTCTAATAAAATCCTGCTATTTGTTTATAATCTAACCTATATATTTACACTTAATGTGCCGCAAAAAAAATATGATTTAATTATTGACTTATTGTAGTAATCACAACTTTCATATATTTCTGAAACAAATACTTGCGATATGCCGATATATAATAATAATCAGTGGTGGGCGAAGGGGGGCTTGATAATAAATTTCTTTTTATTTTTATATTCCAGTCTAATAATTTTAGACGTTTAGGTGTACTTTGTGGAGCTCAAGACCGAAAATTCTCCTACTTTTTAAAATAATCAGAGAAAAAAAAAAAACAAATAAATAAAATTTGTTGAAATTGTTCTGAAACCATTTTCAATTAAGACCGTCTTCAACTGGGTTGTATTTGATTAATTTTAGTTTTTTTTTTCTAAAAATGTCAATAAAAATTATTCCTTCGGTCAAAATGATTAAAATGAAATACAAAGTTCCTCAAAAATTTGTTATGCTATTTAAAAATATTAACGACATATAGGCATGATATTTTATAAGCATTTAAAGTTAAAATATGCAAAACCACAATTAATTTGTAGTTTAAATTTATAAAATGTTAAATTTGTATAGCTAAGGCTTGATATTTTACTACAAGTCTTTCATACTTTTACTAAAAAATGACTAATAATTTTAGGAAAATTGATTTATTCTGGTAAGAAGTATGTGAATTTAAATCTTGCTTACTAGTTGACGGCAGTTTAAACTTTAGAAATATTTTTTATCCAAGTAATTATAATGCAGGCAATGAGCCTTCAGCCTTCGCCCCTACGTACGTCACTGATATTAATACATACATTATACACTGTAGCTTTTACGGATATTATATTCTACGTTAAGAGAGGGATATAGACATATGCATAAAACATAATATTATGTATGTATATTACATGGTTTTTAACTATTTAAAAAAAAAGAAATATATTACAGACTACTAACCAGTTCTGATAAAATAATAGGTTAGGTTAAGCTAGGTACTTTAAGTAATTTGAACACTAATATTATAGTTCCTAAAATATAAGATATCATACACCTAAATGTTATAGATAGGCTGTAGCTTAAACCTGATATTAGACATTAATATCACTTTAAGAAAATAAGCAAATAAATGTATGTATCTACCTAGTTTTGAAATATTTAAGAATACCATCATATTATACATAGAACCTACTTACATAGTTACATTAATAGATTTAACAATCGTTCGTTGTATTATTACATTTACAACACATTATGGATTAACGATAATATGGTAAATATTTTTAACACTAAATACAAGATCAGTGTATTCAATTATATTTTATTCTTAAAGTTATTTTACAAAGTAAAATATACAATATAATATAATTAGGTAAATCAGTACTTACAATTTATTATTTGAACAACATATAGAATATAAAACTCATTTCTTATTAAAATCTCAACAAATCCTATACAGTTAGTTACAATATGATACATTGATACTTTTAAATTCTTTATGCAATAATAATAGGAAAAATGTAAATAAATATACATATTGTTCGTCTCTATTGGTAATTGGTATTGATAAAGTGGCAATATTTGAGTTTACTTTAAAGTCAATTTATAAAAACAATATAGCTGTATTGCCTGTATTAGGTAATTGTCAACTCACCGACACAATTATTTTTATTTATTCAAATAAAGGCAATAACAAATTTAAAACTAATTTCTTTAATTAAAATTATTTTGAATCATTTGATATGTTATGAGTTTATGACGTATGAACACCGAATAGTTTAAATAAGAGCAATGGTAATACGCGTTTAAAAATTATGATCATATGGTAAAAATACGATTCATCCAAATTATTCAATCTTATAAAGTAGTTTGACAAAAACTACTGAATCTTATATCATGGAAACTAAATTGGATAAGAACACAAATTATTCATATAAAACCTAATGTAATAAATAATAATATAGGTAGGTACATCTATACAAAGTCAAAGTTAATTTTAAATTTTAATACCGTCCTGTTAGGAATATTTTAGTTCATCAATACATATGATTATTTTGTCTTTTAGATATCAAAAGAAATAGGTATACGCACGCCGTTGCATAAATAAATGTACGTAATGCTTAGATAGTTTATGATCAAGGATGACCGAATTCGGGGGTTGAATTGGTGGGACGCAGTGGGGTGAGCTTCTCTAATATTTTCTTTATATTTTTAGAGTGTCTAATAATTTTCATTAGAACTTAGGTACCTACGCACTTTTTTTCAAAAAATTTATTTTTGTAATGTTTATTTTACAAAATTGTAAGGAATCATAGGTACAATTTGTTATTATTATGATTCTGAATTATAAGATACAGCTATGTAATATAATTTAACTGTAATTCTTAAAAATTATAAATTATATAAGCAATTTAATAATTATAATTATTTGTAATATGAATATTCATAAATATTTATTTTAACCGCTCATAATTTGAGTCGTTGCTACTATGTCATACTAATAAATATTCTGTAATTATTTATTTCGGAATTAATGATTGAAGGATGTGAGGTGCTTTGCAAATTAGATTGAGTTTGAGCCAATCAAGGGACGCTAATTTTTTTTCAAAGTCCAAAAGTCTCACTTCTTTTATTTTTATTATGCGAGCACTGTATTCATATTAGATACCTACCTATGACATCAGTTTCACGCACGACACTATAGCATAGATACAATATTGAGCATCACAAAAAGCACAAATTTGATTAAGAACGTGAAAATCATTTGTGGTTTTAATATAAATCTATGAATTCAATGCAGTCCAGTAGAGGTAATCTTTTTAAAATATTTGTTTAAACGAAGGATTGTTAACCGTTTGCACTATATACAAAATGTAAAAGGTCATAATACAAAAATAACACCTATAATATTAATATTATTGTAGTTTGTAATTCACTCAGAATGTTATAAAAACATAAGTATGTAATACAAAATAGGCACAAACAACAATGTTTAAGTTGTCGAATAATAGTAAGTAGTTATAAAAAAAAAATAGCAGTCGGAACATTATTTCATATTATTACAAAACATGTAACTATTATTCATAGTGTAAAAATACAAAATATCATTATATACCTACATAATTTAATACTTTAATACTTGTCTTTATCCTTCTTCGCGTCACCATTTGTTGCCGGGTCATTTTTAAGCACTAGCTTGTATTTTCTTGAAAAAAAAAATCATTAAATAAACATACATATTATATTAATCTATAATTATACTGTAATAAATGTTAATATATTGTAATTGGTGTAAAATTAAATCAAAATGTACTACCTATGAATAAAACAAATACAATATGTTTCGTCCAATGCATTATCCGTGTGTTTCTTTCTTTACATTAATTATTTGAGATACCTTAGTTTAAGTCTTAAGTCAATATATTTTGCACTATACATAAATCCTAAGGTTGAATTATATTTCCGGATTTTGATATCGAATTTTTGGTTTTAACAAAAATTTAATTTCCAGAGAAACAACAGAATAAAATAGAAACAAATACGAATACTGTTTTAGAAATAATTTAGTTCTATAATGTTTACTAAATAAATAAAGTATATAGGTATATAGTTAGGAATCTAATGTCATCCATCAAGTGTTATGGTCATCTTAACTCTTTAGAGAAAATTGTCTCCATAGACCATATGCTTTAAAATAAATATCCATAAGACTACGGTATGGATGTATAATATACAAATAATATAATATAGATAAATTGTATAATTATAATATTTTTAATATCTGGATCCATGCTTCAGTTTTGTGTTAAAGTAAGGAATCTGTTTAGAAAGTCTTGTCGTCAAATGTATGCGAACTGTGTACTTAATAGTAAATTGTAATTCTTATATAATGATGGTTAGCTGTAGAAATTCATCTATACATTGATTAGTAATATTTAACCACGATATACCTAGGTCCTATAGGTACTAACTATTGAAGTATCTATTTAAAAAAATTCTATAGCGCTATAACTTACGATAAGACGTGGGTTTGTAATACATAAATATTACAAACATGGGTGTTTTATCAACATTATATTATAATACACTGCATTATTGTGTAGACAAAATAATAGTATGATAATGATAGCTATACATTTCGAAATCCAATGAATTAAATTACAATTTAATGGTCCATATTATTTCATATCTTTCTTTAATCTTTGTGTCCAACCGGTGGGTTGGGTTGAGTGTTGAAATGTATAAATTAGCATAATTGAATTAATTAGAATAACTGAAAGTAAATTGAGTATAGATACATCAAATACAAAATATTTTGTTTATGTGGGAATTCATAATACATATTCTAATATGGATATAATCTCCGGATATAACATTATTATACTATGAAATATAAATTCGTTTTTTTCCTTGAAAAAAACAATTTTAAATTTAAATATACATTTTTTTGTCGATGTTATCGAATATCTAAAGAAACTTAAGAATCTATAACACCGTGTCTTATTGTCGTACCTACATCTGTATTTTAGAAAGAGTTTGAAATAAATCCCACCCGATGAATTCAACTTGATTTCTGTACATTTTAATTTGCATTGCAAACTTGTATAGAAAGTTAAATACGATAAAGTACGTTTGTTGTATAGGACCTTGTTAAGTCAACTCACTTTTCTGACATAGCAATGAGATCTTCGATTGTATCTGGCAGTTTTCTGTTTAGCGTCTCGGGTAACACAAGCGACCACACTCCGACTAACAATGCCAGACCACCGTACACGACCAATGGCATATTAACCCAAATTTCAGACTGAAAATTGAAAGGAAATTTGTGACGACCCGTAGTATTATATTATATTGTACAATGCGTAAACGCCATGCAGTGCTCTTTAACTGCACTTTAATGCACCTCCATACCGTATTGTTAATGTATGGTGCCACAATTCCTCCGATCCTGGCGAAAAACGATCCTACCCCCAAGCCCATATTCCGCACCACGGTCGGAAACTGTTCTGCAGTATAGACGTACACAGCTCCGTATGACGCAGTTATGGACATCTTGGCCATCATCGCAAAGAAGATAACCACCCACGTATTCGCTAGAATTAAATACCATTTGTACGTTAAATTTTTAATTTGTCGATCAAACTTATAGAGAAGAGCAGATTAACTGTAGATAATCAATACGTTTTGGTGATATAATAAAAAAAAAGTTAAAGTCACCTTAAAATGTTAATAATAAATAATAATCAATTTCATTCATTAATAATTATAAACTGGATAAATGATTTACTTTTGGGTATAGCTAGCGTTGCTAGAAGTGCTAATCCGGCTAATATTAGGAACCCAGATATATTTATCTTCCTGCCCCATTTGTTGAGGGTCGCTAATAAAAATATATAGGCCGGGAACTCAACTATACCGAATAAATTGAACACAAAATATTGATTTCCTCCAAGATTGGAAGTACTCCAAGACAGACCATAATAGGCAGTGCTGTTTACAAACCTAAAAAAAAAATAATATTCACTTACAATTATATTTTTGTTTTAAGGTGCATAATATTAATTTAAATATATAAATGTAGGTATAGGTACTGATTCTCTACTTTGTGGGCTACTAACAAATTATTTTATTAAACTAACTTAATATATTTATAACAGAAGAATATATTATGTCATAATTATTTCGTAAAATTAATATTAATTAGTCTTGTTCAAATTATTTTGTCATAGTAGGTATTATGTAGATTTTTTAAGCCTTTTTTTATAATAACTAAAAATATTTCCACTCATAGATGAAAGACCCAAAAAAAAATTAATATTTTAATAATTTAAAAATACGTAACAATTCATATAAACGTAAGCAGACGACCAGTTTTTTAATAAAAAAAATTGTAATTCCTGCGGGCTCAGCTCTTTATTCATATTTCATGATATTATATATACATTTAATCATTATAACTATTAAGTTTTAAAGTGCTGCAAAGTATTAAATTGTTATCTGATATCAAGAAATGTATACTGTATACTGATGAGATATCTGCTAAAAATATTTATAATGATGGCAAATACGATGACTACATTATTTGAAATTGAAACGTATATGATATCAGATATTGCGTAAGAATGATTTAAAAAAAAAATGTTTAGTTTTGATTTTTAATTTCTTGTAAATATTTTTGTTTATTTTTAAATTCATCATATTCCAATAAGCGGAAAATGTTTTATTTTAATAAATTATTTTTCAAACTTATTAGGTATAATCAATCACACTCGTAGTATAATGCAATATGGCATATAATAATCATCTTCATAATATATATATATATTACTCTAGTCTCAGATAGTAAGTTTATAGGTTAATTAATTTACATCCCATCAATCTAGTAATTGTCATTACCACAAAAGCATTATGATGATGGATCTCTTCAAAATCTCTGGGTGTTTGAACAGATCGAAAAACGACGCTTTGGGTTGAGCATCGGCCTGTACTGTAAGCTTTTTCTCAACATCGCATTCCAATATTTCAATTATGTCTTTTCCTGAAATGTCCACACCATTCACCCTGCACACTTTCTGGAGAATTTGTACGGCTTTCTCCTGTTTACCATTTGTCAGTAGCCAACGCACCGATTCTGGTACAAACCTGGTACAAAGTTAAACATTTGTTTTAGTACACTTTACTGGTGACGAAACCAATACGTTCACTACTGACCAATAATAGGTCGTGTAGAACAAAGTCGGTATGGTAATAGCCAGTTGAAAGTATCTCCAATTTTCGTGGAAGGCGTACGCAAATCCGGATGTTAAAAGAAAACCGACAGAAAAGAACATTTGTATGATCACGCCGACCACCATTCGATATTTGGAGCTGACAAATTCCAAACCTGTGAATAATTGTACTTTTATAATTTGAAACAGAAACATCTCATGGTCTGAGAACGTATATTTAAATACACATTTTAATACAAAGTGTATATAAGTACACATTAATAAAAAAAAAAAATTAAAAACGTAAATAAGTTATCACTTATCAATAAATAATAAATTATGAATGAAAATAGTACAACAATAAATGTTATATTACATAAAATAAACACTAAAACTAATCTAATGATTACTTTATGCAGCGATAATGCAAAAAATATTATAAAGAATTAACTATTAATTCTTCGCGATAAACAGTTTTTACCTGTTGATTAAACAGTGAAATATTTATTAGGTCACATTTTAAAGTCCATATTATTAATATTGCCATGTGCAGTAAGCATTGTTTAAGTGTTTAACAACGACTCAATTTCGTATTAAATACAACTGTCTAAATATATGTAAAATCTTAGTAATAGACTATGGTACACGGCCTACCGATGACATAAGCTGCTAGGTATAGCCCTGAAGTTGATGCTCCTACCAAAACTCTGAGAAATGTAAAACTCCAATACTCTTGTGTAAATGCCATACCGCAACCGGCAATTCCCTGCAGCAATACCGATATTACAAAAATATTTTTTCTCCCAATCCTGAAAACAATAAAAAGTATAAGACGCGATTATAGTAGGTATAGGACGCTTAGGCTGATCATGTTACGGACTTTATATATTAATTTATGTACTATTCAGAGTAGTTCATTATTTGAAAAATTGTATCAATATAAAATTGTATTTGAATCAATTTTTACAATCATATTATGGTAAACATGTTATGTTATTATAAAAATATTATAAATGATTTAAAAATATTAATTCAAATACATATTACATATACAGTGATACTTCTAAATGCCGAACACTCTCATTCGCTGAAAATATGTCAGCTACTCAAAGGGTTCAGTTTGTAAAAAGTTTGTAGTTTGTTCCCTAGAAACCGTCTGTTATTTATAGGTGTACATTGGGAGAGGTTTAACTGTACAACTTTTCGAATAATAACTATCAAAATGTTCCCAAATCTGATATCTTAATATTATTTATGTGGAATATAAATATATAATATATTTATATATAATAATATAATATAATATCATCATAAATCTAAATATTTTATTACCTAAAAGGTAAGATACTTGTTTAAGCTCATTAAAAATGTGCCGACAAGTCATACAGTTTGTTTATAGTAATATTATATACGAACTTATCTATATATTTTACAAACATCTTAATTCATAAATTACTTTCGACTTACTTACAGTAGTTTTATTTAACAATATTTTTTTCTAAAGCACACTCATAAAAAATATAATATGCCAGTTTTATTAATATCTATAATATACGTTATTAGATATTAGGTAAGTGCGCATTAATTAGATTAATTTAGGTATGTTACGTAAATTATTAGATTATATACATATACACGGATAATTATTTAAAAGAAATAAACGACACAAAATGTTTTATTAACTTAAATTCTACTAATACAAATGTTTATAATAAGACATATTAAGTAGGTAGTAGGTAAGGTATATTAATATTATTGGGTACACTTGAAATAGGATCCAGCCATCCTACCGTCTATTTTATTTTATACTTATATCTATGACTTATAGTAAATAGTCGATGTCTTAATAAAAAAGAAGTATATTAGAATTCAAATTATAATACCACTCAACCATATAGTGTGTTATCTAAATCTAAAAAAATGCACATTTAAATTGCATAGTATCACACTGATATACAGATTATGGTACATAAATATATATATATAGTTATCTATTTTTTTTTCGTAATATTCGTGTTGAGAGTTACGATTTACTTTGTTATAGACTACAGTAACGAACTTGTGTCGTTACATGCTGAGCCCGGGAGGTATATTAGGTGATTCTCATATAGATACTGACCTTCTTCAGATCCGGCTGAATTTCTATATTGGATTTCAAGTGAATCGGACGGGTAGTTTTTAAAATTACGAGTGCGGAAAAAAGCGACATTCATTCATTTCATAATAAAATATAGATAGATAGATAACTATATTATAGAATAACTCACCGGTCCGACAAGTAACCAAATATTATCGATCCCAACATCACACCGACCATGAGCATAGAGTCCGCCGTGCCTTTGTACCAAGCTCTGTCACACACTAAGTTGAACTGAGCAAGAAATTTGACCAATTTAAACCGTGTTGTAAAAAAAATACCATTACTTAAAAATTTACCTCCATCACTGCGGTGTTTTGGAAGTCGTGCCGGTCGTATATCCAACGGTGGCAGTCTATGCTTTGGTTCGCCGTTATATTGGACGAGTAGTACGCTTTAGTGAAATTCGTGTCGTACATCTTGCAAGAAGAAAAATGGTCCAACTTATAATCGAATGGATATGACATGTTCATGATGTTGGGAGGCAAATAATACGAAGCATTGGCGGGCTCACTTGGTAATTGACATCTATACAACGGAAAAATAGCATTAGTAATCGTATATAATATAATACAAATATATATAATATATAGATAGAAAATGGTATATATATAGGAGGCACGTTACACATCGTCGGTATATACCTGTAATCAGTTTTGGCCAGGATAAAGACCCCGGACAGCTTATGCAAAGCACACGATATCGCTGGAAGGCACAAGAAAAAGTAAATTCTTTTCTGGTACTTCCCAAAATCGCCGATTTTGTTCAATAGGTCGTCGAACGTCATTTTATTTTTTCCAAAATTACTATCCAACCAACAGCTGCTGTGGTCTTTTTGTTGTTGTAATGCTGTATGAAGTGGTTCAGTTCTTTACTAAAACTAATAAAATATATTCATATATATATAAATAAAGACAACGTAATGAATCATTAATAAAATTACACAAGTGTTTACATTGGTCGTCATTACTTAAGCTAACGCTAAACAAACATAATATAATTAAATCCTTGTTATAAAAAGGATTAACGATCCGTATCTTTACATTAGGTCAAACAAAATACACTGCAGATTAGCTTATTGGGCCTACTTCAATATTAGTAGATATAGTAGCTATACATAATAATATTAAATAACCTAAGTTAAGATTTAACTTCTTGTATAATCTTTATTTTAGCACTTCCATCCCCAACGTACAATCACAATCATCAAAAAAAAAATGATTGTACGTATTATATTTTAAACAATAAAAGAAATATTAAAAACAGATATAGACGTCGCCATGATAGGTACTTCTTGGAAGATCAAATAAACAGATTCAACTTTTTTAAATTTATACACATTTTTTATATTTGCGTTGAAACAGCCGCGATCGGAGAGTAATTTTTTATGTATATAATGTGAGTATTAAAAAATTAAATTGATCATTATTTGGATTTTGATTATTATTATTATTATTATTATTCAAATTAATCTGAGCAGGCTGCTTGTCCTTAGCCGTAGATGGTAGATCTTTTACATAATATATACCATATGATATTTGGCTTTCGCCTATCGCTATACTCTGTTCAGCGAGAGAACTCGCAGCACACCGACGAAAACTGGTTCCCCCACGCAACACCCTGCCAATGGGGAACCGGTTTCGACGCATGGTGACAGGGATGCGCAGAATCGGAGTATAGATATTATGTGCATTTATGATACATATCAGTATATTACATAGGTGTTTACTATAAAAGTTAATCCAAATCACAAGTAGGTACCTATATTGTGTATATTGTATAATGCACTAAATACCTATAGCAATTGATTAACTTACTACGAAATCAAACTGCCCAACTTTCAATGTGTGTGTTTCCGCGTATGAGTAAAAAAGGAAAACATTTTTCAAACTTATTTACTCAATATCACACTTTTTATATATTTGCTTTTAAGTTTTAAGCCATACCTTAGTTATTTTTTTATTACATTATTATGTCAAACTTAACTGATGCGTTTTCAAGTAGGTAATAATTTATACAGAACAAGACATTTATCTCATAATAAATATTATTAACTTGTATACCTATTATACTGCAGGTACAATAATTAATTATATAGATACCTAGGTAATAGAAATAATGCCATTAATTTGTCACATGCTAATGCATATAATATGTAAAAATACAAGTAGATAATATGTACAATGCGAATGACATAAAATTGATCTTATGATTATTTTCAGTAAATATGGTAATAACTTATAATATAATATTATTACTCTATACCTATATTGGTTACATTAAGTTTAGAATATGATAAAATATAGACTATAGACTTACTAGTCTATAGTAAGTACTAGTACAGTGCCAAAAGTACAATTTAATACACGGTTGAAGGTCTTTTGGCCAGATAATACAATTAATCGTAATACCTACGCCGTCAGCGTATAAAATACGGAATGAAACAACACAAATATTTAGGTATATAATTGTTGAAATAATAATATGACATTGTAAGATGTTGACCGTTGCGCTTGAACATTTAAAAGTCCTTATACATTTGCTGCACATAGTGGGCTGGAGCCTCTATATAAACCTAATATATAAACCTAATCAGAGCTCGTTGTTGTAACTTCGTATTACCCTATGTCCCTATTAAAAATACAAGTATACATCACGGTTGTAGCTGTAAAAAAGAATAATAGCAAACATCAGTAGAAAATGCCAGTGTCACATTCCGTTTATATTTTGTAGCACGTAGGCATAAAAATTAAGATGAACGTGTAGAAACGTAAATAAAAAACCTTCTACTGAAATGTATTCACAGTAGGTACCTACTTTAGTAAAAGTATTCAAATACTTTATAAGCACCTACTCAAATACATAGTTTAAATACTTGTGAAAAAGTGCTTGGATATAGTATTTTAGGTACTTTCTCAAAGTATAATTATTTAAAATTAAATACCTCATAATTATATAATAATTTTCTTTCTTATTTAATATAATTAAAATGTTTAAAAAAATTAAAAACATATGTGCGTGCAAGTCATAAAATATTAATTTGGTAGGTAAAAGGTATACCTATATAAAATTATAAAATGTTTAAATTTGGTGAATAAACGATAAGGGACCGGTGGCAGTAAAGTAGTAATCAGTTCCCACCTGTTCATTGGTTTTAACGGAAAAAAAATGTATGTACAAAATATATACTAAATTACTAGAAGGCTTATTTCAATTGTAGACATATTTTACATTTTTACAGATAATCAACTTAGAGGTAAAACCCATGAATTTAATTCCAAATACCAGTAGAAAATACCTACTAAAATTAAACATAATAAAAATACCTTATTTACTCGATAAACGTTTCTAAGATGATAAATCTCTAAAAGCTCTTTCTCACAATTTATCCCTGACTGTATGGGGTTGGTAACTCTTGTCCTGCACGTCCATAGATCTCTGTCAGTTTTTTTAACTAAAAAACGCTAAACTTTTTTTTAAAATAGACATTAGGAGAGATTTGCTTATTTGTAATATGGAGAAAACAATTTTAAAATTGTCATAATTTGTAAAATTGTATACATTCATATATGGTTTTCACACTATGATAAGTCGTAACTAATGCAAATCCAATAAGTAAAAAGTAATAATTAATAAAGAATAACACACTACTTGTTAAAATTATATGTACCTATTATTTATTATTTGTATAATATTGTTCAATATATCCACCAAGAACTATAAGTATACACAGGTAAATTTTACAGGCCCATGATGGCATGATCTTTGTAATGAAATTAGAGCTATAAGTATAATTAAAAAATGTGTGAAGTCGTATTACTAGCGACACGTTAATTTCGTTATTAAAATAAAGGGACTATAAAATTGACTTATACAGTTATACATATCAGTCCATGGTCGATATATTGAACAATATAATAAAAACAAATAATAAATAAAATGATAACGAATAGTGTGTTATTTATTAGTTTATTACCTATTGGATAAGGTAGCATTAGTTATCAAAGTGTGAAAACCATACTATTTTACAATTTTAATATAATATATTTTTGAAAATGTAAGTTGCTTCATTCAAAATTTAACCGATTTCAAAATTATTTTTTTCTCTTTATTATTAATAAATAATTCTACAAAACGGCTATTTTCAATTTTAAAAAAATATCTAAAAAAAACTTTTATCTTTGTTTTTAGACCAAGTTAAAAATTAGGCTATTATAGTCACATTCTCACAATATCTGTATTATAATCCGAATTATTATTTATTGGAGCTAGGTACTGACTTCCCAACTAATTAACATACTGATATTAATATATTATACTATACATCGATGTTCCATCTATAACTAAACATGATTTTCTATTAAAGTTTATAAAAGTAACAGTTCTCATTGTTGTGTATAGTATCTAACCTTAAACTTTAAAAGGGTTAAAGTTAAAACAAGTGTAGGTAGTGACCCAGGATTAATTCGATCATCGTCATTTTCTGAAAAAACCTAACTAAATTCCACTAAAAAAGAAGTTTTCAACTTCAAAATAATAAAGTGAATTATATTGTTGCTACAACTGCGTGATCAATATTTGTGACTCAATTTTATTGAACCGTAAATTGTCAGTTTGTTGCCATTAAAACACACTAGCGTACACCGGTCAACGTCTCGAGTCTCGACGGCATAATATAGCTTACATCCTGTACATTTATTATATATTGTAAAATGTATAATGTGTACACGATATACCTACTATTATATTATACAGAGTGATTCACCAAACATGATCATCCCCTTTTTTCTTCAATAATACAGATAATATACAAGATCTAATTGTTGGAACTTTTAAAATTATATTTAATTTATATTAAAATTATTGAGATTTTTTAATTTTTATACTGCATAAGGAGTGTTCTATGGAGATACACACTTTTGTTTATTAAATGAGACCCCTTTTACCCCTTATCTTGTTGAGGCTCACAGATACGAGAGATGATAAGTACCTATACTAAACAAATGGCTGCTAAATAATATTATTTTATTCAATTATTGTTTGTAGGATGTCAGCTCAATATTGGTTTTTCTCTCAGACCCAATGACATAGATAAAACAAAATCACGTAAAACTCGTTTTTTATGGTTCTTTAGTTATCTTAGAGCAAAATAACTTATTACAAAAATGAAAGAGAATACTATTTTTGAGGGTTTGACTAGGTATTGGTTTTATATTTTATTATCATTAGACTTTGTAGCCGACTTTAAAAATAAAAAATAAAATTTACAATATTTATACAAATTGATGTCATAGGTACCCTAAAAATGATTGTTCTCTATGTTTTTTTGCAATGGGATATTCAGTCATTCTACTCTAAGCGATTACTCAAAACCACAGAAAAGATTATTTCGCGTAATCGTGTTTTGTCCGTGTTGCATGCGGGGCTAGAGTATATCGCGCTGGCAGTCTCTTAACACGCGACTCGACGCCGAGCACATGCGAATTTATTTTTGAACGACAACCGGGCGCCGTCGATCAATATTATAACGGCAACGGAAGTCAGCGCACGCGCTCCATACAATACCGGTAGGTAACCTGCAGCCCTGCATGTGCATATGCTAATTGTAGCAAACACCGTTGATTGTTGGTACTGTTGTGACTATAGCGAATTATTGTGATTTACGATTTCGTGATAAATTGTATAATATTATAATAATATAGGCAATAGTTACCATTTACCGACGACTGCTACAGCAGCGATCGAGGAGCCGGTGTCGCGTTTCGGCGAAATCTGGCGGCAAGAAAC